AATCGTACCTCCTCCTTCTTCCTTCGATTCTCCTCTTGTTCTTCCGGCTTGCACTTCTTCGCCTTCTTCCTGCAGAACAAGCGAACCCAATCGGAAGCATTTGCCGTGAACGATTTTTCACAAATGTTTCCCCAAGAGGACAGGGGACAACTACTAGGTCCTCCAGTAGAGAGGTTAGAATAAGGGTACCCTTTTTTCCGTAGTCGTTGAGAACCCTCCCCCAAAAAAGGGGAGAGAAGGGCACTACTGGGGGGCCCCGAATTAGGGTTGTCCTGGTGTGTTGAGATTTGGCTTGTCCGCCCCTCATCCGCTTTCAAACCGGCAGTAGACTATCAATCATATTCTCACCTGGATCGCCAGTTGCAGCTTGTCCCCAACTGAACAAGTCTCTGTAAAATAGCACCAACTTGGCCATCCAGGCAGCTACAAATATGAACCGTCTCGTACGTTGGGCGTAAGAGCTTAGTGACCCCGGGAAGTGCACCCGAATGCGGTCATGAAGTTCCGGAGCAGAAGAAAATACAGGGACCAGCCCCAAGACATGCCCGGCCATTGGCCGGAAATAGCATTCAAACGCGGAATCCTTGATCAATACTTGGGGGGGGACCAGCAATTGGCGGTGGGTTTCCTTGTGGCGTCCCTTAAAGCCAAAAAGGGTACCCTGAAAAAACAACAACCCCACGTAAAAGAAGAAGACAAGTACCTCAATGCGCGTGGCCCATGACTCCTGTCCCAGAGGTACAAAGCCTCAAAACGGCTTTGTATTCTGGGCAACCGGGCAACATAACCCCAAAAACCCATGGCTTTTCGCCGCCCGGTGCGATCGATTCTCAGCACACAGAGGCCCGCTGATGGAACAGACTTGAAGCTAAGGGCTGGGTCGGTGCGTGGGAATGACCCGAAGTTGTGGGAATGAACATTTCGGGGATGCCCGAATGAAGGAAACCAAATCGGATGGATCTTCTTGGGGTCATGTCGTTTCTCATTCCCTGCCGCGAACCTGCAAGACAAATCGGAAACTGGGGGAAAGACCAATACAACGCGTTCACACAAGGTCTCCTCCATGGTCTGTGATTCGATCTAGGCAACAGCACCAAACGTGGCTGAGACAGTTACACACGTGTATAAACCTGAAAGACTTAGGGACGTCCAAAGGATCCAAATACCTGAGGAACAACCAAGGTACCAACACCCTCGAAGTTTTTGGAGCCTTTGGGATATGGGTTGGTAGAGCTTCACCGAAAACAAAGTGCTTTGTTGGCTTCCTGAAAAACAACGACTACAAGGGTAGCCCAAAGAAGACGCAGACATCATATGTGCCATGGTCAAACCACATTCTATGGCCGATTGGGTCATGGTTCGAACAGGAATCATTCTGATGGTTAAGGATCCTTAATACCAAAGTGACCATCCCAACGTTTACCCCACAAGCAAAGGAACCGGTCTTTCGACCACGACACATATGCGTCCACGTTTGGCGAGGACCTTTTGAGCTGCCCTCCGGTCACCTGCTGGATACTTAGATACTTAAGTGGGGCGCCTTTCTTGGTTCATCAGTTTGGCAAACCAAAGGGAAGTAAAATGGGAAACAGCAGAGACACCAACCATCTCCACTTGGAGAACCCAAATCTCCTAAGGGCAACATGTCGTTGGGTCATGGCAGCCATCTTTCCAGAAACTGGATCCATGTTGCGGTATTCGCATCATGAAATTTCGCCGTCACACAACACAACGCAACCCTCAAAACACCCATTAAGGGGTGGTAATTTCATTGAACCGCACACAAATAGGGGGCAAAGGGTATTGCATCCGTCCGAAGAAAAAACAACCTGCACCCAATGCGTGTGAGCTGGCTATGAATCTGAACCGGAAACATCTACCCAATGGGTGGATTCTGAGGACATAAATCCCATCCAATGTCCAACGGGGTCTGCTTTTCTTTTAAAGGAACCCTTTTTTGGGTTTAAAGTTTAAAGGGAAACCAAAAGGAAACCAGGTCCCCTGAAAACAAAGACACACCCCAAAAGTCCTCAAGTAAAACCCCCTTGCCTCAACGAGCATCGATCACCCACCACCCACCCACCCAGCTCTCTTCCGTGGCAGGGAGAACACATCTGGCGCGCGATACAAGACGGAGGTCAGTCAAGAGTAAGCCTATGGAGCCTAGAACCCCAAAGCGCAGTCCCCAAACAGATTCTTGAGAAAAAACGGTGGCTCTCGGAGTCCAACGTTGATCTGTGCAGGTAAGATTGCAAGGAGGGACTAAGGGACATGTAACAGGCCGCGAGTTACCCGGAATTTTGTGGTCGGATGCGGTGGGCTTCTTTGCAATATTCAGGGCGTCCAAACCTGAAGGATTTTCAGGGTACAAGTCATTTACATAGGTGTCCTTTTGGGGCAAATAGATGGCCCTGGTGGATGATTAAACCACCAGGTAAACCAGGCCATCTATGCTTCCACCAAAACAACCCACAAGGACACCTATGGTCATTTTGGGCATACTCATGGCCAGGCTCGTGGAGAGCCGGGGTTTGCTTGCCGTGGGTCGTTTCGAAACGGGGAGACAAATCCATCTGGCCGTTTTGGTGCAGAGAGTGCAACTTGAAAGGGATCCCAGCAACACCTCTCCATGGGTGCCGGTTCCTGAAGTTTGCTGGAAAACCAGTTCCCATATTTTCAGTGGTGATAGATTCCATTTTGCTCGGAGCGGTTTTTTGTGCTGTGCTCCTGGTTTGGCGGTGGCTTGAGGTTTGCCAACCGGCAACCCGAGGCCCCAGGTCCCTAGTGAGGGTGATGCGGGGGATGCCAGCCAACCGACCAACCAACGGACCGACCAACCACCAGGCAGGGAACCAGACCTAGGAAAAACACACACACACACTCACACCTCATCCCAACTTACGCTGTCACGACATGCCTCAACCGTCTTGCAGGATGTTTACCCGAGATGTGTCATGTTGCACAAGTGCGAACCCACGGTCTTTTGCGTACAAGTTCGAGTCCCTGGAAACCGCAACCGACCTAACTTGTAATTTGTTTGGTCCCCACCTGGGCAACTTACGGTATAGTCCAAGGGCCCAAGATGTGGAGACCTTCCGATCCTATGGAGGGACCTAAAGGGCCCTTGGACCAGAAATCGCCAGTTAACATCCCAATCACTGAAATAGGTTCCAAAATAGGTCGCGTCTGTTTTATTTGTGTTCGGCCAAAGTGCGCAAAGCGTCGTTGCAGCTTTCCGCCAAGCGGATTTGAGGGTTGTAGGCGGGCCTGAAGGGTTGCAGGGCCATGAGGCTTGTAGGTGTCATTTTTTGAAGGGTTGTAGGTTGGCCTGTTTGGGTTGCAGGTGGTGCACCAATCCCAAAACGGTTTTCACCTACCAGGTGGGCCCTTGGCCAAATTTCCGTGGGCAAGGGCCCAACAGCTTGAGACCGTCCGATTTGGAGGGACCAGCCCCAGCCTTGTGGCCCTTTGGGCAGGCGAATTACTGGGTCCAATGGGGGCACCACCAAAATGCCCCCCCCCCCCTTGCAGTGAAAAAGGACCACCAATCTGTAGTGGATCCCAGTTTCTAGTATAGTAGATAACCAGCAATAGTCCACTTGGCCCACGTTTGGCTTTTAGAGGTTGGTTCCCTTTGTCAGCTAGTATGCAGGGAAATGGAATCGCTGGGTCAGGGTTTGCAAACCAGAAGCACTTGCCCGCTGGACGAAATGAGGAACCCCAACCTCGAGGGCTTCACGAGCAGATGGAAACACAAAAACCAACCATCCCGAACATTTTGCACAAGAAAATCGAAAGGAACCAAGGCAAACCAAGAAGAAAAAAAAGGGGGGATTAAAAAAAAAAAAAAACAGGAACCACAAGAAGTCCAAAGGAGCCAAAGAGAGCTCAGCAACGAGCGAACCAAGAACCTCGTACCTTACCCCTTAAAACTCCCTGCGCCCTGGGGAAGTTAATTTTTTACAGACATATAGCCCCTGTTACCCCCAACAAGTTGAAAAGTTGTGTTTTTGTAAGAGGTAAGCGTACTCAAAGGGTTCCGTCAGTTCCGTCCGTTTTCGACTCACCGAAGCAACAGCTCGTGCCCAAGTGCCCGGCCGTTCTTCGGGAGGTGCCGCTTGGGCATGACGAGGCAAAGGCACGCCAAAGGCCACTGAAACACATGTCTTCCTTTGTGTGACCGGCGTCTCCTTTACCCTAAGGGTCCCGATTGATTTTGGGGCTTCAAAATGGGTTGCTTTTGAGGGATGAGGAATTTGTCGGACTTTCCCATTGCAGGGTCCGGGGGTCTGCATTGAAGGGGTCATGACCCTTAGGGTAGTTATTAGTGAACGCATTCACACGGTTAGTTTCATTATGGGTTGTAAGTATTTAGAATAGGATTGTCATGTACTTTAAAACCATAGTCGTGAGAACTATTAGTACTGACTGACCTCATTGTACTATTCCTTTGTGTGACATCTCTGGTAGTTGTATGGGTGTGCACTAACTCGCAACAACAAGAAGCACATTGCGCATATATGTAGAACCGAAGCTAAGTTGCAAAGTACTGTCGGGTCATGATGTGAAACCATGCGCTTTGCCGACGTGGCGTCAACTCACGGCAATCAAGCTACCTCTTGGCTTTTGACAACTCGATGACACGAAACGTGGCGTGCGTAGGATGAGTCGTTTGGCGCTGGACTTGAGCATCACCAAGCTGGCTGACTCAAACAGTTACAGCACACAATCCTGGACGCAACCAAGAAGCAGGAAAGGGAGAAGAACCGGGAGAGAAGCTCTCTCAACGGAGCCTGACATGATCCAAGCAAAAATACCACAACTTTCAAGCGGAATTCGCAACCGAGGACACTCACGGAAAATTCTCGAGGCTGGGGTCCCCCCACCCCCGCTCTGAATCCTCAAGATCCTTGGGCAGCTTCCAAACTCTTGAGCAAAAACGAACTAAACGGCGGGCACTGTTTCTTGTTGCCGGCCGACCGGCCGCAGTCTTCGGAGTGAGGCTTTTGCAGGCAGTCTGTTGTGATCGGAGACTCCAACTGTTTCCCGAAGGTCCTTTTGGGGCGATTCGATTTCAAGCTCGTCTTCCCACTCACTCAGGCCACCAGGGCCCTGTGCAGATGCGCACAGAATCTGAAACAATTCCGGCGGCGAGGCTCTCCGGCAGGATGTAAAAGCACCAACAAACCCATTCAGAGTTGGTTTACATGCTCATTGGCATGCATGTTATGAATACATTTCTATAATTGATAGCCCCCCCCCCAAGGCTTTCTTTGTGTAAATCAATCAAGGGTCATCTACAGGCGGGATCGATCTGAACAAATAAGTTGGGACTGGATGACTCCCAATTTGTCAGGCTCAGATGTTTCATGTCATGACACATCAAATGGATTTGAATTGTGTGTGTCAAAAAAGCAAGTGTGTTCACAGAAATGGCATTCACCAACTGTTCCCAGGAAGCTATGGACACCCTCAGATATGCAAGGAAATGGATTCGGGATACCCAGTGAAATCCAACGGTATCCAGCAAACAGCCTGGCATATCCACAGATCAAATGAGATTTAGATGGCATGGAGATGATGAAACCATATCAACTATGATTGAATTGAATTGGATCCAGTGGCTGCCGAAAAACACCACGCACAATTTGGTGTGACTTGTTCACAAGCAATGACAAATGATACATAATAAGCAAACGCCAGTGCATCTCCGTGTGTGCTTTTTGTCCTTTGTATGGCGGATTTTAGCACATGTGGGAAATTGATCAATGTTGAGTATGTTCTCATGTGTTCATCATATGTAGTGGTCCTTTCAACCAACACATCATTCCTATTTGCACACATGTCCCTAGGTTCCATCTATGTTTTGCGCATTTGCTATGCTAAGCAAGTTGTCCAATTATTTGGTTAGCCAAATGCAATCCCCACATTACTCAAGGGGTCCAACGGGTACTGGTCAGCATTTTGAGCAGATACATTCAGGGTCTGGGCTCTGCCGATGTTCCTGAACACCTCCCCGAAACATGATTGACCGAAACATGGGGCGGGGTGAATGAACTGATGTGCAGGGGGGGGGGAGAACACACCATCACTCAAGTGACTAAGTGGATGGCCACAAATAAAATCCAAACGTTTAGTTATATTTACCACTAAATGGGCAGGGGGGGAGAACACACCAGCACTCAAGTGGATGGCCACAAAAAAGTCCAAACGCGTTATTTACCACCGAATGGTCTTCCGAAAAAGCCAAAAAACAAACAGGAACTCAGGAAGTGAGAGCTGACAACTCTCAAAAGTAGTGGTTGCCATGGACCCGGGTGTAGGTTTTGGCTATTACACATCAGCTTCCCCGAATCGGTGGTTTGGTTTAGTAGTGTGAGCGTTGGGGGCTACCTTCCCCATTTGGTTTCACAAGGAAACTTGGGTTCAAATCCCAAACCACCAATCCAGACCACCAATTAATCATGGGGCGGGGGGGAGGGAGCCCAAATAAGCCCTTATTAAGCCCCTAATGCCCCCCTCCCTGCCCCCCAGCCCCCACCAACTAAGGGGAAGCTGAACAAAGGAGGTTCCATCATTTGAAAACAGACATGCCTTCGAGTCGTCACCCTCACCGCAGGATATCTTGGCGGTGCCTGCCTGATTCTTTGCTTCTCAAAACCACTTGACTTATTGATTTTTTCTAGACTCACATGCTGCCCCTAAAACCGTCATGCTCAATGGGAACCCAAGAGTACTTGACCCATTTTACTAATAGGAGCGCATTACCCACAAAAGTGATAGACTGATACGGATTCCAATCAGGAGACACCCTCCTCCGATCAAAATCAACCAGAAGGTAGTTAATCCGGGGTTCACATTACATGCACAGGTGTTCTGTTAAGAAAATAGATGGCCCTGATAGATGATTGAACCACCAGGTAAACCAGGGATCGCTCTCTATTTTTCAACCAACCAAAAAGGACACCTATGATTACCCGGGTCTCCGTTGGGGCCGCTTTGGGCTTGCGACTCATGCCGTGCCTCATACCTGCTTTGTGTGTACGCAGGCCGCCCACAGAGCCCACTTCAGCCAGCAGTGTCTGTCTTCCTCACCAAAACGCGTGCGCAAAACAAAAAAACAACGAGGCCGCTATGTGGGACGTGACTTGCACCGCCTGAGTTGCCTAAAGGACCCACAACAAAAAGCTTAACCTTGGGGGGCCATGACTTAAAATGGACCAATCAAGGGACATCAAAAGGTCAAAAGGTCGATTCACTTTGGGCGAGTAAACAACTGTGGGACTGTTGTCTTGGTGTTTGCGGTGAGTTTAATCGGTCGAACCAGTCGGAGGAAGTAGTGCGTTCGAGAAGCTCACAAACAGAAACGGTTCGTCCGGGTGCACCACAAAAGCCAGCCCAACAACTCCCCAAGGGTAACCTGAAACAAAACCACACCAAAGACGCCGACTCTAAGTCTCAGAAACGGATTCGGAGAAAGGCATGGGCCTGATGTACAACTAGATTAATCAACAAAACATGAGGGTCAACTCAACACAGATCCAACTTATGTTGCTTTGAAGCATTTGTAGCGACACCCGAACATATCCCTGCGCCCTGGTTGGAGCTTTTGATGATGCCCGTCCGGCACGAAGAAGCCGCGGAAGCGCTTGGCACTTGCCGGACTATTGGCGGATGACGTGTTTTACTCAATGACCGTCCATCCCTCCAAATGGTACACCCCATTGGACAAAAAGACATACCTGTCAGGGCGCCTTTTGGCAGTAAAAAGCATGCGGAGGCGGTTCAACGGATCATAAACCAGGCTGAAATAAGACATGTGCAGCCCCCAATAACACGAAGGAACCTTTGTGTCGGCCCTTTCCCCCGATGTTTGGTCGCGAATGACTTTGCCGATTGGTCCAATCTTTGGCGAGGGTGAAAACAAGAGTTGCGAGATGTCTAAAAAACTCATGCACTAGACACATGGCTGTGCAATAGCCCTTGTCATACCGAGGTCGAAAAGTGGGATTCAATTACATCCCTGTGACTGCTTGGTCCTGGGACTTCCTGAGATCCCGGGCTTGTGACCATGATGGAAGGCTCGGTCCTGCCAAGAGAGAGAGGGCGAGAGACACTTGCTATGCCCAATGGTTCAAATATGGTTCTGAAACTCACGTCTTCTGTCATGCCAAAGTGGGCCGTCCAAATCTGTCTTGATCCCCGAACGTTTTGGATATTGGAGTATATATTAGTTGTATGTTTTTTTTTTTGTATTTTTAAGATACTTGCAGGCAGCTTTGGGGTTTGGGGGTAGTGTGCATCAAGCTTAGAACACAGGGAGTTCTCTATACGTCTCCCTCAAAACCAGCATCATCGATGATCAGCCTAAACCATTGACCCACCAAGAGGAACGAGTCTCATCCAACATAACCAACAAACAAAAGCTTCTGCTTAAACCACAAACACTTTGCGACCGGATTCTAGCGGTGTTCAAACCGCATCAAAGGAAGACTTGACAAAACCACCCCGCCCAGAGGCTCCTGGGGCTTTCAATGGAAGACCCGACCCCTCCATTAGACACCCCAGGAATTGGTGTTCGGGGGGGAATTTTGCTGGATGCGCCAGGGCTCGCAGGGCCCCGCTTGTTGCCCCGGGCTTTGCTTGGCAAACCCAAAGGAAAACCAACCCATTGCTCAACCCAGTGATTCCATTTCCCCGGGCCCCCCGAAGGAAAAAAGGCAAGACGGGGGGTGTTCTCGTCAGGGCTCAGCATTACTCGGGGCACAACCCGATTCAATCGCACCTCCTCCTTCTTCCTTCGATTCTCCTCTTGTTCGGGGAAAAAATGGAAAACCAAAAGGTGAAAAGGTCGCCTTTGAACAGCTAAGGAAGGGGCCAACTTGGGGTGCTTGTCATGGCATTCCGGCCTTGGTGCACTCTGGCTGCCGATACTCCCCGATGCGATGCCGCCGCTGCTCGGTGAGGTCCACTTCTGCTACAGCCTGTGCGCTGGGTGGGGGTGGGGGGTGGGGGGATGGGGGGATGGGGGGTGGGGGGATGGGGTGGGGTGGGGTGGGGTGGGGTGGGGTGGGGTGGGGTGGGGTGGGGGGGTGGGGTGGGGTGGGGGGGTGGGGTGGTGGGGTGGGGTGGGGTGGGGTGAGGTGCGGTGCGGTGGGGTGCGGTGCGGTGGGGTGGGGTGTGAAGTGGGGTGGTGGGGTGGGGTGGGGTGGGGTGGGGTGGGGTGGGGTGGGGTGGGGTGGGTGGGGTGGGGTGGGGTGGGGTGGGTGTGGGGGTGGTGGCTAACTTGGCCTGGCATGTCCAAAACTTGGCAATATAGGTGACTTGTTGGATAGAAGTAGAAGGGTTTCCCTGGTAAATGGCACGCAAAACCAATCTGAACCAGTGGAATCCATCTATTTCATTACCAAACTAACCGATCAGAAGGAAACCTATGGTTGGCGTAAGCAAGCTGGCAGCCTTCGGGGGGGGGGGTCTGAGAACCCAAGTGGATGTAGCGAAAAGTGAAGCCAGAGGATGGCGTCTGGCCACGGCTGATGCATGAAATTATTAGCACGCAGCAGTTAAGTCTTACTTGACTGGGCTGCCCTCAGATCCCCCGCTAAAAGCTTAACTTTTAGCGGGTTAAATGGAAACTACCACTAAACACTAAAAGGCTAAAAAGCTAAGGATGGCTGGGAGCCACCAAGTTGAATGGATTGGCCAGAACGTCCAAACTTCTCTACCACTAAAATGGTCCAGAACCCAAACCCAACACCCACGGTTGCTTTAGGCTCACTCCCGTTCCGTTTGGGAAAACAAATTTGGGTGTGGGCCAATCCACTCGATCGGAAGTGAGTTAGGGTGTTAACAAGCGAAACAAACGGAAAGCTGTCTTGACTTGAGGACGTTTCCGTTGCTTGCCCAGAAATCGCTCCAAGCGTGCTGCCCCCTGTCGCTTGTCTTGAAATGGGAACACCTCCAAATGTGTCCCGGTGTCCCTTTCCCAAAATGTCAAAACCTTCAAATGGGTAAATAGGTCTGACTTGCTTTAAGGGTACCCTTTGTTGGGTGTTTTTTCCTGGAAACTCAGAAGGAACACCATCATTTTGGGGGTCGGATTCCTAAAAAACGACACACCCAACTAGGGGCGCCCCCTATTTTGATGCCTTCCTGTTGCTTTCCAACTTGGGGTAACAAGAAAGCCGCCACGAACCCAAGACGAAACCATGGATGACGACGCACTCACCTCGAAGGGAAGTGCCTCCCAGCTCAGCAGACCTCAGGCGAAGCTTGCTGAAAATGGAACAAACATCGAGGTGTTCTTTTGGAATCCCTGGAGAAAACAAAATGAAAACAAACCCAGAGCGTTGTTGGACAGGTGAGTCAGGTCAAGGTGCATGATGGACAGAGAAAACACAATATGTGTGTCCCTTGTAGGGGACCCATATCAATTATTGGTGTCCTTTTGGTTGCCCTTGAAAAAGCCCTCAAACAAAAGACAGACCCCCATGAATGATCGCAGGAACTGAACTGGATCCCCAAGTAAGAGACCCTCATGAGCCCGTCTCCCAGGTGAGCCCTGGTATGAGGGAGACTTAGGGAAACATGTTCCGCATGTTCAAACAACTCAACGGATATTCCCCCAACCATGATATCTTTGCCCATGCAGATCAGCTCCGGGGTGGTAAAGAGGGCGGCTCTAAGGGTCCAAGCAGGCTTCCGGACCCGGCGATGCGCTTCTCACTTTCGCGGAGGGTTCTTGGAGTCGCACTCATCGGGAGCACAGCCTTCCACTTGAAGCATCGGTGAGTGGCTACGGGCAACTTGTGGAAGACATCTCAAAAGTGTCGCTCAGTGTTCCGGCTCATCGGCTCATCGCAAGCCGATCCTCCTAGAAGCCGACGCGTGCGCTTTCACTTTTTGGGCGCTCCTGAGCCGCGTCTGACTCCGGCGACTGCGAGATGGCAATCCCAGTTCGGCGCTGAGTCCGAACGCAGCGCCTGCCCTCGAATCGTGACGTCAACGCATGCTTTGTTCGCGGGCGAATTGTCAGCTGGGAATGCATGGGGTGGTTCCAGGGGATGCGTGGGGTGGTTTCGAAGAGGGATGCGATGCATGGGGCCAGTTCCGAGTGTATGCACATGTGCCTCATGCTGTTGGGAGATATCAATTGAGCCCCACCCGCAGACTTGTGAAAGAAACAGGTGCCACCAACGGGAAAAAAAGGAAACAACGACAAAAACAACGATTTGTCGTTGATCACCTACTTTCCGAAGCCGAACTGCACATAAACGCGGACTGTGAACAAATCGAAGTTAGCTGGGCTCTTCTTATGCGAATCGTAGCTGTTCTGGTATCTAATAATCTTTAAACCACATATGGTCTGCAACTTTCTGCACCTTGGGGAACCCTCAACATGGGTAGGTGTTCGTTCACGGGTGTCCCTCCGAACGATTCCAGAAGGGCCGCGTTCTTCGCCGCTAAGTTGTTGAGGCTTCAGTTGATTCACGTTTCTTTCCCCCGCCTCAAGCATCACCAAAACGAAGTCGCGTGAAAAACGGCCCCAAACTACTAAATTGCGTGAGCTATATTTGGGCGAGTAGGACCCCGAATTACACTGCGCAGAATCGAGGAATTCCTGGCTCGTATGAATCTTGGCTATGGCTTTTACTAGTCAACCCCTAAGGGTGGCTTTTCGATCGGTACCCGGCCGTAACATAAGGGGACATGAGTCGGTGTTTCTCGCATCTTTTGCAAGAAAGCAACACGGGCTTCTCTTCCCTTTCCCCGTCACACACTCCGAAGAAAAAAACAAAAAAACAGGTACCCTCAAACAAGACACCCGCATCACATATATATATATATATAATATATGTATATATATAGATACACATGTATATGTATATGCTGTATATCAGCTGCCCAGTTAAGAGCCTTGCACCAAATGGCTTTTTTTTGGTTTCCATGTCAAGCAGAGGGGTGCCAACTCTAAGATGACGAGCCACCCATATATCAGGTTGATGTCTTTGGGTTTGGATTGGTGGGATCTGAATCCCTTCTTGAGGGCAAATGGAAAACCACCAACCGGAACACCTCCAAACCACCTGAGTAGTCTCCCCAAAACCATGTAAAGAACTACAAAGACGGCTAGGTCACCCCATTCTTTGGATGGGATTGTCCCTTAACCTTCACTTACTTCCATTTGCTTCAGCTCCTTGAACAAAAAAGAACAATATGTCCAGTAGTGACTCCCTTTAACACCAAGAGGGAAACGTTAAACATATTCATTTCAGCAAACGGAAGCTTCGGGCTTTGCTGGTAACTCATCCTTCCATTTGCTTAAGCCTCCTTGAAAAAGTAACAAATGTTTCCAGTAGTGAAATCGATTCCCTTTAAAACCAAGAGATAAACAAGAAAAAACAATATGTCCAGTAGTGACTCCTTTGAAAAACAAGAGGAAAACGTAAACGTTAAACATATTCATTTCAGCAAATGGAAGTACAGGACAAGAGCCTATTTACCGTGTTTTGGGGCCATGTCCTATAGATTCTCCTGTAAGACTTCGGGATTTGGGACCCGCAAAGCATCTGAGACCCGCACTGAAGCGCAGGTAGCCCAAGCCCAAGGGCACCAATGCGCCCGCCGCCAAAACCGCAGGCTCACGGGAGAGTGAGGCGCGGGATAACAAGCCCACCATGAGCAGCACATAGATGCCGAGGCCTGGGCTCTCGGGCAAAAAAAGCAAGGAGGACACACACATACATATATATATATATATATATATATATTTGGAACACATATACATATATATATATATATCTGGATGATACTTTTTCTTCTAACTTGGTGGTTTTGCTGAAGAGCTATTCACTTGTTGTCCGTTTCTCTTCTTCGATCTTTGCGGCCTTCGAAGAACAACAAAGCGATGAACCATCATCCAACCCGGATCCTTGGAACCAAAACACACGGCTTTTTCCGTGGCTTCGCTACTTGGAGCTCCTGAGCTCCCCATTTGATATCGAAACCCCCACTAATTACCCCCCAAACCCAAGATACCCTCAGGGGAAAATGGGACATATACTCTTATATTATTGTTCTAGGGGTACCTTTCCCATTCTTTCCAGGGATCCTTCTTTCTAGAAAACTCCAGAAACCCAGGGAATACGGCCAGTTTCTTGAACAAAAACCATGTTGAAAAGAATCAACAAAGGAATCCTCCCCTAGAATTACGGTAGCTGGTTGTAAATCTCAAACCGGGGCTAGCTTCGGTTTGGGTCCCGGTAGCTTCGAACACCATCTGATCGTGAATGGCTCAGCTCATTGGCTGAAAATCCTTGGCAACCAAATGTGGCTTAGGGGATTCTTACTTTGGATAATTCCCCTAGACAAGCCACATGTAACTCACACAGTAATTGAGGTAATTCCCCCAAGTGGCTTCTTCATTTTCCTAGGTGGATGTGGCTTGTTCATTTTCCTTACTGTGGATAATTAAGGTTCACAAAGGTGCCACGTCCACCTGTAACTCAGACTGGTTGGTTTCCTGTTGGCTTCCCTACACCAACCAAGAATCGATTTGTCCAACCCCTACCCCTTCTCAGCAGTGGAACCAGTCAGTCCTCTGTAGTGCAAATTCTGGGGGTCTGGCTGGGACATAGACTTGCTAGTACTTACTTTAGCATTGCCAATTGTAATTCAGTATTGACAAGACTCACTCTCAGATTCCCAGTACTTACTTTAGTACTGCCAATTCCATTTTAGTGCTGCCAAGACTTACTCTTAGATTCCCAGCACTTGCTTTAGTATTGCCAATTCTACTTTAGTACTGCCAAGGCTGACTCTCAGATTCCCAGCACTTGGCTTGCCAATTCTACTTTAGTATTGCCAATCTGACTCTCAGATTCCCAGTACTTACTTTAGTGTTGCCAATTCTACTTTAGTATTGCCAAGACTTACTCTCACATTCCGACTAGTTCAGGAATGGTTGCCCTGAAGTGCTAACTTCACGGGAAAGTTTCTGTAAGGGGATCTCACGGGTACTACAAAAAGCCCTGATGCATGGGGCTTTTGCCCTCGCCCGGCCCGTCGCTCCACCCGCATCCCCCAACCACGTCTTCAAGAGATCTAAAGGCATAGGTGTCCTTTTTGGGGGAAAAAATGATGGATATCCCTGGTCGTTCATTGAACCAGGCAAACCAGGAATCGCCCAACCTATCTTTCAACCAAATCAACCAAAAGGGACGAGCCCTATGTCTGAAAGCCTTTTCCAGATCTTCCATTTGCTTGTTCGCCCCCTGGACCTAAAGCAGATTTCCAATAGATTCCCTTCAAGATCAACAGGGGAAGTTTTAACAACATACTCTTGAGCAAATGGAACGGATCTACCAAAGACATGCGGGTATATATGTGTCAATCCGCGGACTCCATACAATGGAGATGTTCCTTTCGGTTTCCGTTTGAACCAACCTGAACAGGGTAACCTCAACCAGCACCCATGTTTGTTTCTTGAGGCAACCGCTGATGCCCCGAACTGCATTGGGAAATGCAGTAAACAACACTTGTGTGCTCTCTTAAACGCTTGCAAATAGTCTGGTTTTTTGCGGGCACGTCCCCCTGAGAAAAGGTCGATCACCTTTGTGTAGGTAGAATGGACCTGCCATGTGTTCGCAAAGGTCATTTTGGGGCGTTTTGGTCAGTCACACAAAAGACCGGCGCTGTAACATTGTCTTGTTCTGGCCGACATTCAAGAACTTTTCGGATAGCGTGAGGGGATCCAAATCCTCTAGCTTTGCCGCTAAACCACAGTACCATAAGTTTAATTGGATATATTAAACAAAAACGATATAAAACCACTATATACAAAGTGTATATACCATGTTTTGCCCAGCGGCATGTGCTTTGGGGGTAGAAAACACCATCTTGGATTCTTAGATATGCAGAGGCCTCGCGCCACTCGGCCAACATGGATCCGAGCGGCCCAGGAAGAGGTGGCGCAAACCCTTCACCCAGAAAGCGCCGCCCATGTCCGGCTTTTTGGTCTCTGCGAAGATGACCAAATAGCCTGGGCACCGCCCGTTTTGTTTTTGTTCGCTTGACTCGCGTTGAATTGGAAGGCACCCAGCTGGAACCTGCACCCAAAAACAGACAGTTCAACTTCTTAAAGTGCCTGGAGTAGATCCCGGGCCAAAAGCGCTGAACTGCTGATCCTTGGCACTTGGTGCCATGCCTTCTGCATCTGAAGCCAAGTGGTAGCTCCGAATATGGACTCCACCAAAAGTGCTCACTTCCGAAAACGCTTGCTCAAGAGCGTAGTTTCGATACTTTTATTTCGTGGATTGGCCAGAATACGTCCCAGCTTCTTGTTTACCCAAACCAAACCCAAAACAAACCAACCCAGACCAAACCCAAACCTCAAAATGGTCCAAACCCAAAAAGTTTAAAGTTCAGGAACTCGGAGCTTGACCCAAGAGGTGTTCAAGGCCCAATGGTCCACCAGGCTCACCACTTCTCACACTCAGCCCAAATGGATTACAATCACAAGCTGGCGTGAAAAGGAGTCTGCCCCACATTTCCGAAAGTTGAACTGAGAAACAAACATATTTTCGGTGAGGATGCATTCCCTTTAAAGCCAACAGGGGAACAACCACCTATTCTCAAGCAAGTGGACGTATGTAAATGCTGAAAGTTGAAAGCATTCAGCCACATTCCCACACGCTCAATCCTCATTCGCTCATCACAGTCGAAAAGCAAACAAATCAAGGTGCCATTCCATTTTTGGGCATGGTTGTGGAAAATTGGGCTTTGGGTCACTTTCTGTGAATCTCATTGAACGTGATAAGATAGTCATGGGAATCAACCACCTTGGCATCACAAGGAGTCTTTTCCCACTAATTAACATGGAACTTCTTCTTCTTTTTCCGCGGGGTCCTGGTGGAAGACCAACACCAGGAAAAAGTCCCTGTCATGTTCCACAGAACTTGCTGGTGCTCAGCAAGGAATAAGGGAATGACCCCTATAAACCATCCAACTCTGGTTTTCTTTAAGGGGACCAAAGCCTGGGTTCATTCCCAACATCCGGAAAGGTGATTTTCTACTGATCACCAGCAAGAGAAATTGGTAGGGATATCTTCCACGTTCCTTCCATTTACTTGAGCCCCCGGAAAAAAAAGAAAGATCCAGTAGTGACAGCTTCTAAAAACCAACAGCCCAGAGGCTCCAATTCGATTGATTTAGGGCCTTGAAAACAACCGGATTTGAGACCCCCATCCAGTCTGGAGGGGTCGGGTCCATTGAAAGCCCCAGCCTCTGGGAGCGGAAAATCAAGAAACGTGTTCCTTTTCAGCAACACGCTGGTGCCGAGGAGACCCCGAATGGACGGTTTTCCCTTTGGTTACCTAAAAAAAATATTCCTTTCAGTAAATGGAAGGAATCTACCAAAGACATGTGGGTAGGTGTCAAACCGCAGGCTCCAAATTCAATGGTGAAGCGTAAACAAATGGAAGACGTTGGCTTCACAACCAACAAATGACTTGACCATGGTCTCATTTCATTGACTTCTAATTGGACAAGCGAACAAGCGGGGATACGGAGGGAGCGGGGATATGTGGGGACTCCCTTGGCGCCACTTCCCATATCAAAGTTAGTCAAGGTGAATTTGGAGGGAATCCTCACGTATCCCTGGTTCCCCCGGTATCCCTGCTAGTGCTTGGTTGACGTTGGAAGGGGAGCAACAAAAATGTTTTTAGCAGTTTAGTGGGGATTTCAACCACTCAACACAATAAGCAACAATGATTCAAAATGTTTCCCAACAACAACCATGAGTGGGTTTCCCTGACCCAATTGACTTCAACCCAGCCAACGGAAGGGCTTTTTTCCATGGGTTTTCACGACGAGTTCCACGGGGAATCCAATCCGTCGGGGCGCCGAAGGTAAAGCAGCCCACGGCGAAGTAGAGCCAGGCCACCACCAAGATCACCTCGGGGCCATGGATACCCCTGAAGGTGGACCCCGGATTTTCATCCACCAACTCTCCGATAAATTCCCTTTAAAACCAACAGGGGACAAAAAATAAAATCAAATATCCTTAACCAAATGGAAGGTTATACGGCCCCATTTAAGATCAACAAATTGTGAGAGTAGGCTTCGTGGCTCAGGACATCTCACAAGCGATCCCATCCCTCTTTGTGATTTCTTCCAAGCAGCTTCTCCCAGAATCAGAAGCAAGTGGGCCTCTAGTCCTCCGGTAGAGAGCCTAGAATAAGGGTACCCGATTTTTGTTTCTGTAGTCTATTTTAGTCGGGGAACCCTCCGAACCAAAAAAGGGGTGAGAAAGGGCACTACTGGGGGACCTAGAACTATAGTTTATTGGGGGGTGTCCGATTCTGGGTTTGGGGATTCAGACAACTTTTTTGTAGGGACCCCCATCCCCATGTAGAATAAGCTGGGGTTGATTAATCCTTGTGTCAACATTTCATGAGCCGTCCAAAAACCTCCGCTTCTTTGAGTCATGGGCATGTTATGACTATAATAAAGTTACTAATGTTGACCCAGGATTAATAAACCCGTCCCACTATTAAGGGGGTGTTCCCTTCAAAAGTGATGAATCTCTACTAAAAGGGGGGCACCCCCCAACATTTGTTTTTCCACGGGTTTATTAATCCGAGGTTAACATAAATTACTAAATGTTAAACGTCCCGTACCAGGTGGCTGACCACCACATCAAAACCCAAGAGGAACGGGAATGGATCTCTTCAAGCCCTGGAATCGGTCCCAAATCGCAACGCTGTCCGTATTTGCTTTCCCCTCCAGTGTGAAAAGCGAAGAAATCCACCATAAAGAAATATACTCATACCGGCGCGTCTGCTTGTTGATGGTAACCTTGGGAGCGTTTCCAAGGGAAACTAAAGGGAAACTACCTCGTTTCGGGTTTCCCCGCACAAAAAAAAAGAAGAAGAGGGTCCTTCGGAAAATGGGAAAGCCGTTTCTGGATGGGCCTGAAGATTAGAAGAAACAGACATATATGGGTGTCTCTTTCTTAGACGACCCCTACAAATGGTGGTGTTCCTTTCAGTTTCCTCTTAAAATCAACCAAAACGGGGTGTCCTGGGGGGGAGGTGTTTTTTTCTCACCTTGGGTGATTTTCTCTGCGCGTGGCAGGGCAGCAGCTGGCAAAGACCACGCAGACCACCAGGTGGATGGCCACCTTGGCCATGCGAGCGCCCATGCCATCGCTGTCCTGAGACGTCCGAGAACTTTTTGTTCAACAAGGGGGTTGGGGTACCAAAAGGTTTGTTGGTTGGTTGGTTGGTGGGTGGTTGGTTGGTTGGTGGGTGGGTGGGTGGTTGGTGGCTGGGTGGGTGGGTGGGTGGGTGGGTGGGTGGTTGATTTGGTCCTTAGGTTCAGCTACAAAGGAAGCTTGGGGGACATTTACAAAGGGTTGCCTGGGGTATTCCAGTCCAGGCTTTCCTTTTTGACCGCAAGGTACACTTAAACCCGGGAATGGAGAGGCCCTTTTGGGGGACAAGCACTGGATGAGTCAACAAGAGGCAGCGAAGCCTCAAAGAAGCACATCTTCTTGAGTGCATGGAGTCGTAGCGCAATCGATCAACCAATCACCCAACCAATCAAATCGATGCATCAATCAATCAGTCAGCCCACCAACCCGCCAATCAAAGAAGTCTACCCAAATCCATGTGAATCTTGGCCAGGCTTAGGGCCAAACTTAGACCCCCAAGCCAAATCCTTGCTGGTTGAGACAAGGACAACCAAGGAAAACCCACAGGGCACAGTTGGAGAACAGCTAAGCGGCTGGGGCAATGGATTGCGGCTCCCTTCAAAACCTGCAAACCGAGAAAACAAAAAAGAAAAAAAACAACTCCAGAATGCCAAGAACTCCAGCTCTTTCGTGAGTTCCCCCGTCCAGGCGTCCTGGTCTTCCGGCTCGCTCTGTGCGCGGGCTTCCTCCGGGTCCGCGCCACGCAGGCGGTGGAAGATGTACTTGGCCTCAGACGCCGCGAGAAGCGGAGCCTTTTTGCACCTGCCCCAAGAATTTCCGAGTCGAGCCCCGATGTTTTTTTTTTTTTTGGCCTCACTTCTTTGGGTTGTTTTTGAGCGATGAGGAATTGGTCGGGGTTCTGATGGATAAGCCAATCCTGAAGCCAATCCAAACCAATCTGGGCCGATTTCAGGTGAGATTCCTTCTGCTGTGGTCTTCTTTAGTGCCCTGCCTTTTTGCACCTGCCCGAAGGGTCCGATTCAGTGACTTTGTTCAGCTGCTCGCAGACGGGCAACTGTTTAGTAGAGCTATAGACGGCATGCCCTAAGGGTCCGATTCGAGACCCGATGGATTTTGGGGCCTCACTTCTTTGGGTTGTTTTTGAGGAACGAGGAATTGGTCGCTCTGGGTTCTCTTGGAGGCGTCATGACCCTTGGCGGACGGTTGCTTTTTCGGAGATACATTCCTGGTCGCTGTCCATTTTCAGATCCCCCACGAAAAGTGACTAACTTTGAGTGGGATAAATGGAAGCTACCACGAAACCCTAAAAGCCGAAAAAGCTAAGGGGACGGCTGGGAACCGCCAAGATTCTTGGTTGCTGTAAGGACCCCTGTGCACAAAGCTGTAATCACGTTGTGTGGGTCCAATGCAAAATCCGACCTGTTCCGCAAAAAGTTCAAGTTCAGAGATCCGACCAAATAGCCATAAAGCATTTGGGCTGTTAACAAAAACCAGCCTTTACGCACTGATTTAGAGGATATCCCTGAAAAGCAGGTGATTTTGGATGTACCTACCTTCACCGGCCACATGGGTTGTCACTTTTAGACTGGTTACCACTTTACTTGTGGTTTGGACATACTGGTGATTGATGTTCAGGTACCATCAACGCTCAAACTACTCTGTAGAATGGGATATTCTTGGTTGACGTTGGAAGGGGAGCAAAAAAAAAAAAAGCAGCTAAGTGGGGATTTCGAACACTCAACCACAATAAGCAACAATGTAAAATGTTTCCCAACGACCACCATGTGTTGCGTAAAGGTGCGGGGCATATTTATTCCCTTTTCTTAAGAGAAGTTCGAGGGCCCAGGTATTATTATAGGTAGCTTTCAAAACTTGTGGTTTGGATTAACTTGCTGCTAGCTGAAATGGAAGAAGAGAAATACCAAGAGCAACACGTGAAACAAGAGTGGGTTGAGTCTGGCAATCATAGGTGAACCAGGGCAATCTAGTTTTCTACCAAAACAACCAAACAGGACACCTATGCTGGCAAAGTTTGTGAACTTCGACCAAACAAGTTCAGCGAAAGGATGCCGTGAGGCTGTGAATCGCAGCAAAAACCCTCGCCCTTCATGGTGGGTCCCCCTATTTGAGTGCGTCCTTCTAAGGGAACCCCCTCAATTGGTGGGTTTCCCTTTGGCTTCCCTTTGAAACCACATCAAACAAAGACACAATATGTCTATCCCTTCTTGGAATACTACCCTTTGGAACGGTGTGCACTTCTATGTTTGTGGGAGAGAGGGAGGATAGATTCGGTTTCATATTTAGTGAAACTCAAAATCTGAACTTGTGCGTGGCTTTTTAGAGGGTAGCCTTTGTCTATTTGTGGCTTGCTGTTGTTTTTTGGGGGAAATCAGAAGGATAGCCGCTCCATGTTAGACAACCCCATGTTCGGAAGAGCGCCGTTGGGCATCAAATCACAAAGGAGCTGTGCGGCGCCCTTGGGCCTCAAATCAAACATTTGTAATGCGCAGCGCGCAGCCAAGCTGCCAAAGGAGCCGTGCGCAGCAGATCAAAGACCTGACTGAAATGGACTGTGACAAAGCTTTGCCAGAAGTGACTAGAAAATTGGCTTTCTTTTCTGTGATTCCAAAGTGGGAGTTGTTTTTGTTTTTTTGTTTTTTTCCTGTCATGACTTCTTCGCTTTAAAGGGGGTTCCGCTGCATCCACGAAGGCCTTCATGGTGGTAAAGTGATACTTTGCTTCAAGTTGTTCAGCATCCATTTCCTCAAATGAGCCATGGTGAAGAATGCCGTTTCCCCAAAAAGACATGGGACAATTGTGACTCCCCGCCGCAAACCAAACCAGAAGAAAGGCCAACTGTTCGGGGGAGCCTTTGGCAGGTAATAGTTCGCTTCCAGCTACCAAAGAGCCGAGTGATCGCCCATGTGCTCACATTATGGGATTCGCTCACATGTCTGCTTCTCTTGTGCGTCTTGGCCTAGCTCCCTACCTGTTGGTTTCCACACAGCATCCCGTTCACAGAATGAGGCTGCCATCCAACTAAGAAACTCTGGAATGATTTGATTCCCCTAAATACCAACCAACAATGATTTTCCATGGTCAAGTGGTCCAGGACTTCGTCTATCCACAATATCGAATCAAGATGGTTTGCATGTCCACTTGCTAAAATGAGCGTATCTTAAAATAGTGGACCCGGCCCAAATGTTTTCTCGTTGGGTTTCCCTTTAACAGCCAACCCATTGTACCCTCAAACAAACGAGTGCATGGCTATCTCCTGGACCCGCTGGACCTCCTCTTTAATTCGCCCAAACGTTGCTGCAGATTCCCCCCAACAAGAGGCATGTGAGCAAACCGGCCAAGCAGCCCTGGCACTGGGCGTCAAAATTTGGATGGGTCCAAAAGGACATCATAGAGGTGGACATCCGAACTCACTGGGGATGCACATCCAACCGCTCCTGAGGTTCCCCACACACACAACGTGTCCAACTAGAGATGCATATCCGCCAATCACTCCTGAGGTTCCTTATAAAAAAGTTTCCAAGTTCCCCTTGCCATGTTTCGTCTGTCCCTGAAACAGCAGAGTTCGGAAGCTCTGAACCACGACTTTTCTCGGCTCCATCCGAAGCGGTACGAGGCGAAGCGAAGCACGCCTGCAAAAAGCAGCTCAGCATGATGTAGTTGATGTAAAAGTTGGAGAAGCCAGGCAAAGCGTCAGCCAGCAGGTAGATGATCTGCAACCGTCGCAACAAGAACAAAGCAAACATGAGTCACTGCCCGTGAACATCCCAGGCAAGCCACTGTAGTAGGTAACCCTTCGATTTTGCCCTGGTCTACGTGGATTTCCTTTCTCTAGAGGTAGATGGAAATACAAATCAAACACAAACATCTTGAGTTCCACTTAGGAGCAGCTTGCTTCTGAATACAAGGCCGCTGCACTTTTTCCTTTTCCCCAGCCACGCACGGATCATTTGGCATGGAGCCTCTCACTGCACGCTGCAACATGGGACTCACTCAAAAAAAACTGCCTGACGGCCCATAAAAAGATGTGGATGTTTCGCAAAATAGGGCCCCACAATAGGTTGTGTCCTTTTCCATTGAATCTAAACAACCCAAGGAGGGTCCACTATGCTTCTAGGGACACCTTCCCCATTCTTTCCAGGGATCCTTCTTTCTAGACAACCTCCGGAAACCCAGGGAAAACGGCTGGTGATTGAAAAGAACGATGGTTGAAAAGAATGGGGAATCAACCCCTGAATGTTCGTGTACATATCAACAGTCTCGAGTAACGACCATTCAGGATTTGGGACAAACTTCGTAGCAGCCCGCTTGAATAAGCAGCTCCGTCAGGAAAATGAGACATGGGTGTGCCTTGAAACAGGGGAATTCCAAACATGTTGGTTCCCTTAAACCCAAAAAATGGGAACCTCCTTCTTTCACAAGCAACACCACAAGCAACAGGCTCTTGGAGCGCTCATTTGCCTCTGGTAGCGATCTGCGGTGCAAGTCGTGGAATCCCTAAGGGTTTTTGGCTACGCTACGGGCGGGTGGGGTGTTGAGAGCCTGCTTCGGGTTGTTTCGGGTGGGTTCCTGAGGGCTCCAGAACGGGAGAACACCCTTCGACCACCAACCCTTTGGGGAGTCCATCAAGTGTTGGTGGCAAAACACAAAAAACCAGAGTGACTGCTTTCGAGGAGAGGGAGAAAAGGAGAGGGAGAAAAAACTTATGGGCATACATCTATCTGCTAACCTCGGAACATTGCCAATCGAGGGATGCCTTTGAGTGTATAGGCGGTAAAATAATTAGACGCCTCATGTTGTGATATTCCCTTTGGGCTTCCTTCAAATACCACCCTGCTTGGGGTCCACACAAATACGTTTGTACACATCCTTTTGGCTTGAACCAATCCCCCAAAAAAAAAACTAGGCCGTCCTCAAGTGCCTGGCAGCGTCTGCGTGACACGTTTTACCATCTTTTTCGGTTGCCAACTGCATGGGTCAGCAGTCTTCAGGTTTTTTGTGATGGCCGTGAAAAGGCTCTGGCACCCGGGCCCATGGCAACCGGGTTATAACTCCCTCCCTGAGGTCCGGGACTCGGACTTGAGTCACTTCTTGGGCTTGGCCCATTGCAATAACATTCTGGGTCGAAATTAACCCGGAAAGCCGCAGGTTTTAGTTCTCTTCAAGGGAAACCACCCCAGTTTCTCACTTTGAAAAGCCCCAGAAGACAACTGGTCAATTCTTCTTGTTGGCTCCCCTTCTTGGAAATCTCAGGCGGCCTCGCCAGGATGCGCCAACATCTTCTCCAGCCTCAGTCCCAATCGTCCTATCTGAAACCTGACAGGGCAGTCCTGGAAGACCATTTTCCTTTTACAAGGGACCGGGTCTCTCTCAGTTTTTTAAAGGGAAGCCACAAAGAACCCCACCCTTTTTGGGGTTCCCCTAAAAAGAGACACACCCATTTGCTAATATCCCAGCGCTGAGTTCCATATGCAGACACAAAACGGCATGTGCAGATTCTGGTACGTATTTACCCTGCGATTCAAACCCTCACAAAACCATGGGGTCAGATCACGACCATGGTTTACCTGAGAAGCTTCAAAATTGGGGCAACCATTCTTCAATTGTTATTTGTGTTATCACCAATATCATCCATTTTTTCATCGCTTTTATTGTTATTCATACGGTGATTGTTACCCCAGGGTTTCGCATCACCCGACCAGCATGGATAAAAAAGGTCGTAGGTGCCTCCCCTTCCGTCCCTCTTCTTCCGGATCCCGCTTCTGGCGCTGTGGTCGAATCTTCATTCCAAGAAACCTGCCAACCAGGAAAATGTACCTTGACGTTGCTGGACACGGGGCAAACAACTCGGAACAACTCGGAATATATACCGGAAATCCTTGATGTTGCTGGAAACATGGGGCAAATAACGAAGAAAACAAACACTTCCCGCTGGATTCGCATGAATGTTTGGCTTCATCATGGTGCCTGCGCCTGAAAGTTTTCGACCCACGCGGGTTTCGACGTCTTGCGAAAGTCGTTGGGACACCCCTTGGTCCCTCTACACTAAGGATGTGATCGGATATGCCGAGTTTGCCGAATATCTTCACCAGCTAGCTGAACCCGCCACCAAATCATTGCGGTGTTGCTGGACTTACGACATGTGCTGAACCGGAAAACGCAACCAATTGGATCGGCTTCCAGCACCGTGGTCCATAGCAGCCACTGCTTTTTGGATAGAACTGGGACCCGGGTGTTGGCTAGTGCTCTCTTTCACAGGCTCACTGGGCCTTCCAACAACTGGACAGGGACAACAAGAGGACCCAATACAAACTTTGTTTGTGCGGCCTAGGGTTAAGAGGTTAAGGCTAGGCAACCACCGGGGAAGGTCAAGATATTCAATTTCCTGGTTAACACGTGGTGAGGAAATTGCATTGAAAACGAGGGTTGGAGAGCACATGAAATCGGAGGGCCTAAAAACCTGGAAAAAAAACACACGTGGTAGCCACGTTTTTCTTCTACACTGGTTACCACACACAAAACCACGTGTTTAAGTAATTGCTATGTTTCAGTGCTTGCCCGCTATTCCAGCTCGTAAGCCTATGGTCATGGCTCCCTTAATAGAAACCACCATGTGGATGACCATCCCTGTTAACCCCAAGTAAAGGAACCGGTCGTTTAACCATGGCACAAATTGTGTGTACAGTATTCTGAGGCTCCAAACCTTATTTTATTCGGTAGACTAGATATCAACCATAATACATAAATAACTAACACATAAATGTTTGTGGGCAATGGACAACCCGCAATTTCTCTGAAAGGTGAAGTCTAAGGTGCAACCCAAGTGCGGTCAAGAGAAGGAATGATGTCCTGCGAGTCCTTTTGGGCCAAGATTGAATTGGCTGTGGTCATTAGGTTCCTTGCCTCATGGGGGCTGGGGGGAGGGGGGGGAGGGGGAGAGAGCCCAACAAAAACCCTTATTATGCCAGTTTAAGCTTTATTTAGGGCTTACTTGGACTCCTCCCCCTCCCCTCCCTCCCATCCCCCCCAGCCCCCAGAATTGCCCTGCCAACGCCCTCGGCACGTGGAGAGAGGGCCAAGGGCTCGGCACGTTGAGAAAGGTGCCCACGATGGTGGTCACCAGTAGCACAAAGACCACTTGGAAGGCAAAGTACCAGTCCTGCGCCGGAAACAAGTGGCCCACAACAAAAAACTTGGTTGACGTTGGAAGGGGGGCTGTTTTTATTTTTAGTTTTTGCAGTTAAGTGGGGATTCCCAATTCTAGGGGTTGATTCCTTTTCCATTACTTTCAACCATCGTTCTTTTCAATCACCGGATCTGTTTCCTCAGGTGCTTTTGTTTAGTGGTTTTCTGGAAAGAAGGATCCATGGAAAGAATGGGGAAGCTACCAGTAGAAATACGTGGCCCACAAAGAAGGGCCAAAACAAAATGACTGGCCTTTTCCTCTTTGTGTTCTCACTTCCTGAGTGGATTGCCGTAAAGACGTCCAAAATGTTTGACTTACATCCAACATGGTGGAGGGGGGGTTGTAACCACGACAAAAACGCGGTTTTGTCACCATGACAAGGTGCGATGTTACCACGGCAGAAAAAAAAGGTTACAGCGATATGTTTCTTGCGGGCTTATCCCGGCAAGCAAGGAAATAGAAATGAATAACAAGGCCAATAGAAAGGAATAAGAATGAATAAGAAGGTCAATAGAAAGGAATAAGAAGGAATGACAAGGCGACTAGAAAGGAATAAGAAGGAAGAAGAAAGTGAATAGAAAGGAATAAGAAGGAATGAGAAGGTCATTAGAAAGGAAAAAGAAGGTCAATAGAAAGGAATAAATAAGGAATGAGAAGGTCATTAGAAAGGAATGAGAAGGTCAATAGAAAGGAATAAGCAGGAATAAGAAGGTCAATAGAAAGGGAGAAGAAAATGAATAAGAATGAATAAGAATGTCAATAGAACGGAATTAGAAGGAATAAGAAGGTCAATAGAAAGGAATACGAAGGAATAAGAAGGTTAATAGGAAGGAATAAGAGGGAATGAGAAGGTAGAAAGGACTAAGAAGGAATGAGAAGATCAAAAGAAAGGAATAAGAAGGCCAATAGCAAGGAATAAGAAGGTCCATAGCAAGGAATAAGAAGGTCCATAGAAAGGAATAAGAAGGAATAAGAAGGACAATAGAAAGGAATAAAAAGGAATTAAAGGACCGGATAACCCCACATCCTATGTTTTTCGCAAGGATGTGAGTTCAAATGTCCACACACATGTACCGTGCGCCCCTTGTATGGATGCGATTACAGAGCACCCAGATGCACAGAATGCAGCGCCTGCCACGACTTCGGCAACGGCATCGCCAAAGTGCTGCGCCTGCCACGATTTCGCAACGGCATCGCCAAAGTGCTGCGCCTGCCACGATTTCGCACACCCCCCGCCGCGCGCGCGACAACATCCTGTCCCTCTAGACAGCTGCCGAATGCGACCCCTGCCACACAAACACACACCCAGATGCACAGAATGCTGCGCCTGCCACGACTTCGGCAACGGCATCGCCAAAGTGCTGCGCCTGCCACGATTTCGCAACGGCATCGCCAAAGTGCTGCGCCTGCCACGATTTCGCACGCCCCCCGCCGCGCGCGCGACAACATCCTGTCCCTCTAGACAGCTGCCGAATGCGACCCCTGCCACACAAACACACACCCAGATGCACAGAATGCTGCGCCTGCCACGACTTCGGCAACGGCATCGCCAAAGTGCTGCGCCTGCCACGATTTCGCAACGGCATCGCCAAAGTGCTGCGCCTGCCACGATTTCGCACACCCCCCGCCGCGCGCGCGACAACATCCTGTCCCTCTAGACAGCTGCCGAATGCGACCCCTGCCACACAAACACACACCCAGATGCACAGAATGCTGCGCCTGCCACGACTTCGGCAACGGCATCGCCAAAGTGCTGCGCCTGCCACGATTTCGCAACGGCATCGCCAAAGTGCTGCGCCTGCCACGATTTCGCACACCCCCCGCCGCGCGCGCGACAACATCCTGTCCCTCTAGACAGCTGCCGAATGCGACCCCTGCCACACAAACACACACCCAGATGCACAGAATGCTGCGCCTGCCACGACTTCGGCAACGGCATCCGCAAAGTGCTGCGCCTGCCACGATTTCGCAACGGCATCGCCAAAGTGCTGCGCCTGCCACGATTTCGCACGCCCCCCGCCGCGCGCGCGACAACATCCTGTCCCTCTAGACAGCTGCCGAATGCGACCCCTGCCACACAAACACACACCCAGATGCACAGAATGCTGCGCCTGCCACGACTTCGGCAACGGCATCGCCAAAGTGCTGCGCCTGCCACGATTTCGCAACGGCATCGCCAAAGTGCTGCGCCTGCCACGATTTCGCACACCCCCCGCCGCGCGCGCGACAACATCCTGTCCCTCTAGACAGCTGCCGAATGCGACCCCTGCCACACAAACACACACCCAGATGCACAGAATGCTGCGCCTGCCACGACTTCGGCAACGGCATCGCCAAAGTGCTGCGCCTGCCACGATTTCGCAACGGCATCGCCAAAGTGCTGCGCCTGCCACGATTTCGCACGCCCCCCGCCGCGCGCGCGACAACATCCTGTCCCTCTAGACAGCTGCCGAATGCGACCCCTGCCACACAAACACACACCCAGATGCACAGAATGCTGCGCCTGCCACGACTTCGGCAACGGCATCGCCAAAGTGCTGCGCCTGCCACGATTTCGCAACGGCATCGCCAAAGTGCTGCGCCTGCCACGATTTCGCACGCCCCCCGCCGCGCGCGCGACAACATCATGTCCCTCTAGACAGCTGCCGAATGCGACCCCTGCCACACAAACACACACCCAGATGCACAGAATGCTGCGCCTGCCACGACTTCGGCAACGGCATCGCCAAAGTGCTGCGCCTGCCACGATTTCGCAACGGCATCGCCAAAGTGCTGCGCCTGCCACGATTTCGCACGCCCCCCGCCGCGCGCGCGACAACATCCTGTCCCTCTAGACAGCTGCCGAATGCGACCCCTGCCACACAAACACACACCCAGATGAACAGAATGCTGCGCCTGCCACGACTTCGGCAACGGCATCGCCAAAGTGCTGCGCCTGCCACGATTTCGCAACGGCATCGCCAAAGTGCTGCGCCTGCCACGATTTCGCACGCCCCCCGCCGCGCGCGCGACAACATCCTGTCCCTCTAGACAGCTGCCGAATGCGACCCCTGCCACACAAACACACACCCAGATGCACATAATGCTGCGCCTGCCACGACTTCGGCAACGGCATCGCCAAAGTGCTGCGCCTGCCACGATTTCGCAACGGCATCGCCAAAGTGCTGCGCCTGCCACGATTTCGCACGCCCCCCGCCGCGCGCGCGACAACATCCTGTCCCTCTAGACAGCTGCCGAATGCGACCCCTGCCACACAAACACACACCCAGATGCACAGAATGCTGCGCCTGCCACGACTTCGGCAACGGCATCGCCAAAGTGCTGCGCCTGCCACGATTTCGCAACGGCATCGCCAAAGTGCTGCGCCTGCCACGATTTCGCACGCCCCCCGCCGCGCGCGCGACAACATCCTGTCCCTCTAGACAGCTGCCGAATGCGACCCCTGCCACACAAACACACACCCAGATGCACAGAATGCTGCGCCTGCCACGACTTCGGCAACGGCATCGCCAAAGTGCTGCGCCTGCCACGATTTCGCAACGGCATCGCCAAAGTGCTGCGCCTGCCACGATTTCGCACGCCCCCCGCCGCGCGCGCGACAACATCCTGTCCCTCTAGACAGCTGCCGAATGCGACCCCTGCCACACAAACACACACCCAGATGCACAGAATGCTGCGCCTGCCACGACTTCGGCAACGGCATCGCCAAAGTGCTGCGCCTGCCACGATTTCGCACGGCATCGCCAAAGTGCTGCGCCTGCCACGATTTCGCACGCCCCCCGCCGCGCGCGCGACAACATCCTGTCCCTCTAGACAGCTGCCGTGAGTCAGCGAGTGTGAGTGAGTGAGTGAGCGAGTGAGTGAGTGAGTGAGTGAATGAGTGAATGAGAGTGAGTGTGAGTGAGTGAGTGTGAGTGAGCGTGAGTGAGTGAGTGAGTGAGTGTGAGTGAGTGTGAGTGAGTGAGTGAGTGAGTGAGTGAGTGAGTGAGTGAGTGAGTGAGTGAGTGAGTGAGTGAGTGAGTGAGTGAGTGAGTGAGTGAGTGAGTGAGTGAGTGAGTGAGTGAGTGAGTGAGTGAGTGTGAGTGAGTGAGTGAGTGAGTGAGTGAGTGAGTGAGTGAGTGTGAGTTAGTGAGTGAGTGAGTGAGTGAGTGAGTGAGTGAGTGAGTGAGTGAGTGAGTGAGTGAGTGAGTGAGTGAGTGAGTGAGTGAGTGAGTGAGACGGAGACGAGCGGGAGGAGGAGGAGACGCGGCGCGCGGACGACGAGCGGAAAAAGTAAGAACCCCACACAAAGATGTGGGGAATAAGAAGGTCAATAGAAAGGAATACGAAGGAATGAGAAGGTCAATAGAAATGCGTGAGAAGGTCAATAGAAAGGAATAAGAAGGAAGGGGAAGGTCAAAAGAAAGGAATAAGAAGGTCAATAGCAAGGAGTAAGAAGGTCATTAGAAAGGAATAAGAAGGAATAAGAAGGCCAATGGAAAGAAATAAGAAGGAACGAGAAGGACAATAGAAAAAAATTAAAGGACCGGATAACCCCACATGCTATGTTTTTCCCAAATGTCCACACACATGTACCGTGCGCCCCTTGTATGGATGCGATTACAGAGCACCCAGATGCACAGAATGCTGCGCCTGCCACGACTTCGGCAACGGCATCGCCAAAGTGCTGCGCCTGCCACGATTTCGCAACGGCATCGCCAAAGTGCTGCGCCTGCCACGATTTCGCACGCCCCCCGCCGCGCGCGCGACAACATCCTGTCCCTCTAGACAGCTGCCGAATGCGACCCCTGCCACACAAACACACACCCAGATGCACAGAATGCTGCGCCTGCCACGACTTCGGCAACGGCATCGCCAAAGTGCTGCGCCTGCCACGATTTCGCAACGGCATCGCCAAAGTGCTGCGCCTGCCACGATTTCGCACACCCCCCGCCGCGCGCGCGACAACATCCTGTCCCTCTAGACAGCTGCCG